GGCAATGCTGGAGAATGCCAGTGGCTTGCCATCCACACTTTGTCCACAGTAATGTAGGCACAACATGCACAATTTACACATTTCCTTACTCCTGTCCTGATGTATTTTTATGATACCAAAAGCATAAAACCCCAGGAAAAAAATGACATCATGACAGATTGCTACGAAGGCAATGAGCTCCCATACACTTCAAAACACTCCCGGTCTGCCTATACTTACACATATCATTTACTGTGTATAAATACTGCAATTCAACTTTCTATCCATTGCATAACAACACAAAGAACAGGTGTGGCAATGACACACCAGCTAGACCACTGACCACTGTCCTGGAAGTCTGAATTCCCATCTTCAAGTTCGCACCAAGTTATGCAATTCACTGGGCAGTCTTAGACTTATCACTTAGACATGTCAGTTTGAACTGCCCAATAGGGTTGTTGTGAGGAGCAAAGGGAGGGCGAAGAAAGAACCAGGTACTTTGAATTCATCAGAGAAACAGTGGCACATAAATGAAGCTAATATGTTTAAACACACTTATCCCACTTGCTGAGAACTTTCTGAAAGCTTGTTTAATCAGAAAATCTATTTTCCATTCTGGATTTTTGCTTCTTTATTATTGCTCAAGCCTGAAATTTCTCTGGAAGCGAAAATGATGAAATCAAGGCTGTCCTACTTTGAGCATATCATGAGAAGGCTGGAAAAGACAATAATGCAAGGAAAAGTTGAAGACAGCAGGAAAACAGGAAGACCAAATCTGAAATGGACTAGACCTGAGTTTACAAGAGCAAAGAAGGGTAGTTGAGAACAGGACATTTTGGAAGTCAGTCATTAATAGGGTCACTCTCAAATTGGCTTTGTCAGCCACACTAGATGCTGTTCCAAGTCCTTCATACAGAGCATGTTATCATAGTCACTCGAGACTGAAGGATGCCTTATCTAGTTTAATCATTAACAGGGTCACCAAAAGTCAGAGGTGATGTGATGGCAGACAACAACAAATTATCACTTGTGGGGAGGGTTTTCAGGAACAGGCCCCTTCCCCAGGTGTCCTGAATCTCTTTTCCCTTTTTCCTGCTTCACCTCTGTAGGAGGAGCTGGATACTTTTTTGCTTTGGCTTAGTTATATTTAAGGCAATTTTGTTCTCATCTTCATAAAACTTGTGATAACAACACATTTTTGTGAATGTCAGCTCTACGCTATTTCTGAAGTACTCAAATTACACTTGCTAATGTGCAGATGAAAACTTTCACATCTTATCAAAATCATATCCTATGGAAGAATAAAAGGAAAGGTCTATAAAAAAGCAGGACTGCCAAACTACAAATCCTTGTACACAAATTAGAACCAAGAATTATGTATGTATGTATGTATGTATGTATGTATGTATGTATGTATGTATGTATGTATGTATGTATGTATGTATGTATGTATGTATGTATGTATGTATGTATGTATGTATGTGGGTGGGTATAAACACTATCCTGGGCAGTTTACATCCAGAGTTGAATAAACATGAAGTAAAACAAATCATAAATATAATAAAAAACAAACATAACATGCAATCGATAAAATTACCATCAAATAAATCAATGAAAATCAGACAATGACGAACAGGCAATCTAAAAGTAGTCAGTCATATTATGTTAAGAGAGGATGCTCTCCAAGGCTTCAGTTAACAGGTTTGTCTTGTCTGTCCTCTTAAAGCCAGGAAGGAAGAAAAGCAGGCATGGGCCCACTGGGAATCTACTGAAAAACAATGGGGACAAGACCAAGAAAGCCCTATTTCTGGCTGATGATGTCTTGGCCTCCTTCGGTGTGGCAACCTGAAGGAGCATGGCCTGCGAGCAATGGGTAGATGGTTTTAAGGAAAGATGCTTTGAGAAGTACCAAGGTCCCAAACCATGAAGGGCTTTATGCAACACAGGTAATCAGTGCAGGCTGGCCTGAACTGAAGCAATGTGCTCATACTTCTTCACATCAAGACTAGAGATGGGGGTATCCCATCTCTATCCCCGCACAGGTGGAGATAACGAGGGTCCAGCCCCATGGGGCCAGATACTCCACTCACAATTCCGCCACTGCCGCAAGCTCCAAGATCCATCTCAGGAGCTCGCGATCAGTTCGCCACTCCTGGGAGGAGGCGGGACAACAAGCCTCTCTGCCAGGTCAAAGAGAGGCTCACAGATAGCAAGCTCCGGAGTGATAGGAAAGATCCTGGAGCTCGCGGCAGCAGTGGAATTGTCAGTGGACCATTTGGACCCATGGGGCTGGGCCCTCGTGATCGCCACTTGTGCAGGGGCATTCGTATACTAATACCCCCATCTCTACTCAAGACCAATCTGGACATTGCATTCTGCACCTGTTAGTTTCCGGGTCAGTTTCAAAGGAAGCCAAACAGAGAGAATGTTGCAACATAATCTCTGCAAGGCTCCACAAAAGTAAGTACTATTGAATTCAATGGGATTTACTACCAAGTAAGTACATACAGGATAATATACTAAACTGCTTCTAAAACATGATCTCTCTAGCCTTAGTGGACACACATTTACAATAAGGCAACAGAATACACTCTTAAAAGCTTTAAACACATACAAATACCAGAATGATGATGTTTAGATGCTTGGCTATTTAGTGTAGATGTCCGCTTTCTTCAAAGCACTTTCCGCTTTCAGAAAACTCCCCTTGCAAGAGCTTATGGAGAAAACTTGAGGAAGATGTCCTCATTCTCAGCACAGGCACCTTCTATTTGTCACGTATGTGTCTTTTTCCTCTATCTTTTTTTGCTATGCCATTTAAGGATACACAACGTATAGCAACAGGCGGACTCACTCAGCTGACCTACACTGTTAACTAAGTGCAACCGGGAGCAAATCTCCACTACAGGAGTTCTAGCCTGAATGAACAGATTAAAAACACCTAACCCCACATTTCCAGTGGATGCTCAGCAAACTGCTTGCTAGATACACAAAATACATCCAAGCAATCATAGCCAGTCAGCACTTGTATTTTTATGTTGGTTTCCCCATACTGTTTATCAAAGCGTAATAATTACCACTAGATTCTCACAAGTAAGAAAACACAGAGGTAAGAATCATCATCATCATATAAGGTTGCTATTAGGTAGACGACAGGGCTTCAAATTGTGACCAAAGTTCCTCCAGTAAAACCTCCCTGATAAGAATGGCTGATACACAGCCAAACAACCATAGCCAGTCACCAGACATTTCCTATTCCAAGCAAACTGGTATGCTCAAAATAGTCATTAGTTGTGAAGGAGAGCCGTATAGTGCCAGCCAAGGGCCCCGGGAGAATCATGTACCTGCCCTGCTGGGAGAAATAATGACAGGACAGAGTCCAGATGAGACTACCCATACAAACTGAGACCTGGTTGGAGGCTCCACCTGAGGAGGCCCCTCAACTGTGCAAACAGAGCCTATTTCCTGTCAAATCAAACGGGGAAGACCCAGGAATAGGGCTCACTTTATTGGCTTCAGAATACTGTACCTTCTAGAGGAGAAAGCTGGGGGATGGGAAATGTAAAAGGGGTGCTGGAAGAGGTAGCAAGGCAGACTGAAAGAACTTTCCAGGAT